ATACTAAAGATTTTTTAAAAAAAGTGTATCATTCTAAATAAAACATATTGTAATTTTAATCTACAAGGTAAAATGTAGATGCTATAAAAATTATTGCTCAAATCACTAAAAAGATTACAATTACTACACATTATACATGTCTGTTTGTACCCTGAAAAAGAGAAAAAAACACGTAACAGAACTATTTTAATTTTTAGCTTATTTTCTAGAGTAATAGTAAAATATACACAAAAACTTATTAAATGTAATAACATATACGCATGACTTACCTGCTGTAAAGTAGATAGCTTATAGAAAAACAATGAAAAAGAAAAACTAAGCTATACAAACTTTAAAATTCTACAAATTTTGGTCATTTAGTTTTAAACAAGCTAGCACGGTTTTGTTATCAACTTTTCCCAGGTTACAAACAGGCATGAATATTTTCAAAAATAACATAATTTTGGCGATTGTCGGCATTCCACAGCATTCGTTTTTTAAATATCGTGTTGACGATGTCGGTCGGCATTGTATAACATTTGTAAATGCTGAGAGATATCGATCGACATTCCGCAACGTCTCTTACAATATCTTCTTGCGATATTGAAAATACGTTATAAAAGGGGTCCAATTTTTATATTGTACAGTATTTCGCTACGATATTGTACAATGTACGAAGCTGAGTTTTTACGATATCGTATTGGAGATATGTGCTACTTCGGTAACGTTTCAGTTGAGCGAATTGCAACTCAGGCGTACAAATATGAGTAAATCAATAAGTTTCTACCGCAACGACTTGACCTTATTAATTTACTGTATACTCATATATAAATGATGTTGTAATCTTAAATATTTCAGATTATTAATAATAATTAAAAATTTAACAATGCTCGTGAAATCTCTCTTTAGCTAGGAGGTAATTTAACACGAGAAAACTTTTTGAAAAGTGATATCGTTTTTAGGAATTTAGTTGAAATTGTTTGCTGAAATCGAACTCCTGCGTTACTAAGCGCCACTACTTGACCGATACAGTGATGCACATACAGTATTCGCGAACACGCCAACGAGGAAGAAGACGAGTAGGGCATTCAGCTTTTATTTTTTGAAAGAACTGAGGATGACTAATGGTTTTCGTCAACGAAAATTGATCAGTTTTTTATAAAATTTAAAAACTTATTTTCTATAAATCTGGTTTTGATAAAAATAAAAAAAAACTTATAATTTTTTTAGTATTTGTATTCATCTCACTTTTAAAACATTAAAAAAGTCCAAAAAATATTCTTTTAAAATTTAGAAGGAATTTTTTTTTTTTTTATCAAAATCATTCTAGATGGCTGAGATGCTAATTAAAATTATGTTGCGCTATAAAAATTGTGTCATAAAATACATATCTTTCCTTTAACAAAAAGATAATATTCGTGCAAGAGTTTATTATGCATGTTTCTTGAAAAAAAATGAAAAAACAAAGGTTGTGTGGTTGGTTTAAACAAAGGTTTAAAAACCAATGAGTGGTAGTTTGCAGTGCGGGAAAAAAACCTGAATAAGTTTTGATCGGATTTTCAGATGGTAATGTTCAATGTTTATGATTTAAAGAGGTGACCTCAAATATGCTAATTAAAAAGTACACACGATAAGTTATGAAATCATACACCAAAACGTACTTTCCCTGATTAGACATGCTTTTTTTTCTTCACAAATTCGAATTTCTCAGAAGTTTTCGATTTCTGAATTTTCTCTTTTCTTTAAATGAAATTTTAAACACGCGACTTTTGTTTTTAAATTTTATTTCTCCAAAATTATTTGACCGATTTCGTTCAAATTTTGTACTTTGCCACATAAGCTTAATTTCTTTAAAATAGTGTAAGAATTTATTCACCTTTCATTTAAATTTTTTTTCTTGGAACTATCTTTGCAAGAACAAATTTTATAATTTTGAGCAAAAGTATTTTAATTTGCTTAAGAAGTTTTTGTTATATAGCAAAATATGCTAAAAGTAAAATTAACACTAAAGGGTCTAAACTTTCTAAACTTAAAGTGTAAAACTCTGACAAAATTTATAAATAGTACTTAATATTATTTAACATAATGCTGCAACTAAAATTCCTATAACCACAAATAATAAAAAGGTTAATAGCATTATTTAATTATTGCAAACAAATTACTGAATAAATGAAGTCAGTTATTACTTTTTGTTATTAAATTAAAAACATTAATGAATTGCCAAAGCCTAGAACCATCTTGTCAAATGAAAAGTAAATTAATTTAGAACAAAAAATTTTTTAAAAATAAGCTATTGTTGGCAGAACAGGTCTTTATTTACAAGTAGATATCCTAACAACCTATTTGCTACATTTAAAATGACTTGTAATGGAATAAATGTGCATAAAATTAAATGGGTATAATTTGAATCTATTCATTGATAATAAAACAGCAAATTATTTGACATACTACAATAAGCACATTAAAATATGAAAATGATATGAAATGAATCATGAAAAATTATAAAATCTAAGAAGCATTTGAGCACTGGAACAAAAAATAAAATATAATATTTCGTTTCTGAATTTAATAATTTATTCCTTAATTCTACGAATAAAATATTTATTATCAATAAAATTTTATTTTAATGGTTTATTATCACAGCCTTAAATGTAATTAGATAATGTAACATTAGATAATGCAGTGCTATATAAATAATATTTTTAGATAAATCTATGATTTTTTAAAAAAATAATGCCAACCCTGTTTTTTATTTATTTTTTTTTAAATTTCTCCACATCAGTTCTTAGGGATTGCCCTCCACACACACTTTCAAATAGTCAATAATGGAATGTAATTAATTTCTAAGAGATAAAATTTGAAAGTAGACAAAAAGTTTTAAAAATTGCACTTCCTATATAAAGGAACATTAACTGAAATAAAAACTAGACATATTTAGAAATAACTCCTATGAAACCAAGGAGCAGTAAAAATATCCCAGGTTTAAAAAAATTTATAGCAATATAACTATTAATCAATCTAGCATGTTTGGGAGCCCTAGGGCAGTGATTCCAGTTTGCAACCCCTAAGCATGACCCTGCACCTAACCAAACAATTTGGATCATATTTCCTGAGAGGAGATATTAGGATAGAGGAGATAAAAATTACTCCTCTAAGCATATTTCTCTCATTGTAGCTATCTCCCGCCCCCCTTATTTTGAAGGTCAAGTATCCAAATCCCTGGAAAAATAGATGTGTTTATTGCCATTGGTACCACCCATTTAAACCATTGAGTCCTAGTATGTGAAGATCTAATCAGAATGTGAAAATCTCAGTACTATATGTGAAGATCTAATCAGTAGATCTAAAATTATTCACAGTATTTTGATTTTTTTTAATTTTGTTTTTTTATTTGAGCAGTTGCATTATGAAAATTATTAAAAAAGAATAAGCACACTGAATTGTGGAAGACAATAATTTAATATAAAAATACACAAAATAAGCAAAATTCATAATTGACATTAACAAAATTAAACTTTCGCTAATGTCATAAAAGAAGTCTTTAAAAAGGCTTCTTTTTATGATTTTCATAAAATAACAAAGGATTAAGAACAAAGTCATACTTTGTAAGAAAATACCTTTCTTTGCAAGAAAAATTGCAGAAAAAATTATTGCACAAATTAACAATTTTAGTTTATTTACATATTGATGTGGCACATATTGTATAATGCATAAAATTTATATTTTTCAAAAAAGGTTACAGTCACAGTGAGTGTCTTGTAAATGTCAGTTACTGAAAATACCTTAGCAAAAAGAATTTTAAACTTAAGAAATTTGTGCAGCAAAACAATATTCTTTTTATTAAAATAAGAAAAAATGTAAACATGTGAAAATTAATTAGTATTACTTACATTAGTATTACTAAAATTAATTAGTATTATAATTAGTAATACTTATAAAAAATAGTAGATAGTACACTTATTTATTAATGAATAAACTAAGTTTGAAAATTATCCATTTCAAATCTTTGTTATAACAGTAGATCCCTGACTATTCTGCTTTGCATTAAAAAACAAAAGTTGAAAAAAAGATTGCTTTCTATTCTTTTGTTTAAAGATCTGTTTAAAAATAGCAACATTATCAATCTTGATAATCAGCAATAGTAACTGATAAACGTGCGATTTTTAAATCCCTTGCTTACAAATTGAGGCAAGAGATTTGTGAATAGATTGAAAATGAAATATGATGTGAGGTTCACAAATCAGGCAAATACAAATTGCTATTATGCTATTGCTATTATCATTTATAATATCTATTAATATAAATTAAGTACTATTTTTAAATCAAATAACACTATTTTTTTGTTATTTTAATATGACTTGAATGACTATAGTCGTAACTCAACTAAAGTGATATTAGAGAATATTACTGTACAATTTTATTATAATAATTATTTAAATTCAATAATTTTAAAAATCAAAAATAAAAAGCATAATCAACCTTGAACAATCAATTTTTTGAATAATCAGGGTTTGACTCAATTAAAAGTTATTGAACTTAAAATTCTAAGCACAACAACTAAAAAATACTCATTTACAAATCTATTGTTAATATTAAAAAACATTCATTGAAAAACGTTTCTAATTAAAACAAGTTACACTATTAATTGCTAAACAAACAACTATTGCTTAAAAAATATTACAATATAACTACCTTTTCTATGTGGTATATTAAATATACACGTTGATTAATAAAATAGATTTGAAAATTATTAGTTTCCTTTAAAAGAAAATATTTTTTGATCAAAATCAGTAGTGATTGTTTCAACTAAATATTTATTTTAAACAAATTTATCACTCTAATAGGAACAGTAAAAAATTAACAAAGAGAATTAAAAAACTTTTTTTTAAAGAAAGTGCTAGGCATTTCTCTTTTTGAAAAAATTTGCAAGCTGCCAATCTAACATGAAATAAGAGAATTCATTAAAAACTAGTGATATGCACAACATGATAATAGTAAACTACTAGTAAACAGATTTAAAAAAAAAAAGAACAAAATAAAGATTCAACAATAAACTATAACAGAAAATAATTGCTCCATATTTACAACAATGCAATTTATCACGATGACAAATATCTCTAAAAAAATTTAAATTACGTGAAAGATACCAAAGCTTCGACTAAACGTCATTGTCTCTCTCTTCTTTTTTTTTTAAAAAAAACTTTTATTTGAAAAAAGAATAGTACATCAATTATGTTTTGCTTTTTTTAACAGTAAATGGAAGATGTTCAGCAGTGGGACGGACATTGAATTTTCACAGCAATCATGAGAAACCCAAAATGTAATTTCGCACCTGAAAAAACAGAAAAAAGCTTAGAGCAAAATTCATTAAACAAATCAGAACTATACAGATGAATAATTTTAATGCATTCTTATCAATTTAGTTTTAGTAAATAATTTTAAATATAGCTAGTTTAATAATCAATAAAGCTAGTTCTACAGAAAAGAATTTAATGATTTAAGTTCCTGATGGATAGATTAAGCAAATCAAAATTATACTGATGATTAATTGTAATGAATTCTTATAGAGTTTTAATATATGATTTTTTAATGTAGTGACATCATTAAAGCTAGTTTTATATTATAAAAAAAAGAGTATAATGGGTGCATATGAATGAATTAAATTCAAGCAAAATAGATCAACAAATCAGAGTTATACTACCGACTAATTTTAATGAATTCCTTTCAGTTGAGTTTTAACAGATAATTTTTATTATAGTGAAATCAATAAAGCTAGTTCTATAATGATAAAAAAAAAGAGCTCCATTGGTACAGATTAATGAATTAAATTCAAGCATAATACATTAAACAAATCAGAATTACACTAATGACTAATTTTAATTCATTCTTATCACTTTAGTTTTAGCAGATAATCTTTAATATGCTGACATCACTAAAGTTAGTCGAATCAGAGAAGAAATGGATTTAGTTAGAGTATATGAATAAATTAAATTGATGTATATTTCATTAAGCTAATCAAAACTTCACTAATTTTGACGAATTCCTACCTACTTACTTATGAAAGATAATTTCTAATACAATACTATCAATAAAATTTGTTCTGTTCAATAAAGAAATTAGTTTAGTCATAATATATATTTCAGTGAATATCTATCAATCAATACACCAATATAAATAAACTTAACATAAAAATAAGTATGTTCTATTTGTTAACATGAATGCAAATGAAATTAAATAAAGTCTTAACATTAACTTCTAAATGATATTGTAAGGAAATAAATAACTTTTAACCAGAAATTTCAATTTTTTTTTCTTTCTACAGACAATTTCGTGTGTTATTTACATTATAATTATTAAAATAAAATAATCTTAATATCAACATCAAATTAATATTAATTTTTTTGATAACACCAAATTATAAATAGTGTGACTTTTAAGGAAGCAAAAATCTATTAGGTATTTTTAGACTTTCAATACACATTGTTTTATAAAAAATAAATTAATTCTAATCTGATGTTTGACATTAGTGACCTAAAAAATGTATTATTGTTGAATAATATTACAATTAATAGATAATAAATTGTTCTGGATAGAAATCCATGAAAATGTCCTATTTATATAAATAAAGTTCTTACATTTCACATTAAATATTAATATGGATGGTGTTTTCAATATAAATGTAAACAACAATCTGGAGCTCCTGGCCTGCTCTTTTTTTGCTTTGAAAGTATACAGCTGCTTACTCTGCGACATGATAGTTTCAAACAAATAATTTTGTTTTTAATGAAAAGATATAAATTACATGATTTTTGAGCTCAAATCAGCTGTATTTCATAAGGTATTAATTATATTAAGCAATTCTGCTGAGTTTGAAGTGAACATTTGTTTTAGTTATTGAGAGATGCGTTATTAAAAAAGGTGACATGGTTGCTAGATTTAGAAAGAACTCGCTTTTTTGGCAGTTTTGATTCCTCTCCAAGCCTCTTTTTACTTGTTTATTTCAGTTTGTTTTTGTTGCAAGCCTTGCACCATCATACGTTAGTGTTAGCATATTGTTCGAGCAGCGAGATTAAGTTCATTTTACAAATTATCATTTCGGTTTAAAATTTTAAAGTTGGTACAGTGTTGACAGGGTAAGAAGTGTTATATGAAGATTCTTTTTTTCAAATTACAATTCTTACATCTTGAAATGACAGGTCTTCAAATGACGATTCTTATATTGATTCCTTTTTTAAACACAAATAATAAATCAGGTAACAAATACACGTATAAAAGAAATACCACTCAAGAGAGTTTAAAAACTCAATGATCAGGTTGTGAGGCACAAGGCTTCAAAACACACCAAAAATCCTGAAGTATAGACAGTCAATGTGTCACCATCCATCCTTTAAACTTATTAACACACGAAGTATTAATTCCAGCTTTTTCTATATGATCTGACACAAAAACTGCACTTCTACAGCATGAAAGCAGTACAAAATAAATAAAAAAATTCTATACAATTTTAGGCAGAGTAAAAACACTTAAAATGTAAATTCTGCATCAAATCTTTCAAAAATGAAATTTATTTTAACATAAAATGCTAAGAATGATTCACAATATACAAATATATTTTACACTGCATTATATTTATGAAATATAAGCTAAGACAGAGTAAGTTTATATATTCAAAAAATATTATTTTGTAAGACAAAGACACAAATAATTTAAACCAATCTTTAAAGCTAAATCTTCATTTTCTCTCAACAACTAATGGAGAATGCTAAATTCATTTGTCAAAAACAATCAGAAAATCAACTTTTCGCTAAATATTTTTATTTTAATACCAATCCAATTTAAATTGAACCAATAATACATAATATTATTTTACATCTAACAAACAAAAATAGTTTTTTTTTTTTAAAAAATAACATTTTCGGCTAAAACATTTTGCTGTTCAAGGCTTTTACTTCTCTTTTTCTTATAAAAAAATTCATTTAAATTACCTTTGAAGAACATTAATAAAAAATGTGCAAGATAATGTTAAACATGCAATGTAACATACAATGCATGAATAATCACTGACGGAAACCTTATGCAGTCCAAAAGTGATTTTCATAACTGTATGAAATAATAAAATTAACAAATTTTCTAAAAATAACTAAAGAGTTTACAAACATAAGAAAAGGCTTGTCAAATAATTCTTTTCTAAGAATTTAGGAAAAAGCAAGTTTCCTTGAAAAGGTTGAATTTATCTCTTTATTAAATTCGTTAAAAAGCGGAATTCTGCCTTAAAGCTCTTGATAAATATGCTGATAACTTTAAAAAGCATTACATTTATAAAATAAAATGAGCATCTGAGGAAACAGCGTAGAGAATCAACAATTGATTATTTTTTTTAAAACCATGTTTAATTTTCATATGTTAAAGAAAAATTACAGTCATAAATATAATGCGAATTTAACTTTTAAATTTATTTTTAAAATCAGTAAATGTGTCCTAAATTAGTAAATTGATTTAATTTTGTGTTTCTTTTATCGTAATCAAAATCATTATGTCTCAAAGTTATCCCATTAAGCAGAGACTACTACTATATTACATATGTAACTAGTGACTTACAGTTGATAGATGTAGTTCTGTGAAAAAAGCTAATGTTAAGATGTGTGCAAATCCAACATATTGTATCCACGTCAGAAATTCCTAAAAGAAAAAAAGACAATTTTTTAGTACAATGTAAAAAGCAATATACAAAACTTATTGACGAAATTTTTTGAAATGAGTTAAAAGCTTTTCAAAGTCTAAAAATATAATATTTCTAAATGGTGGAATTGCCCAACAGACAATTATAAACTCAATTGAAGATCTAAGAAAAAAATAACTTCAGTAAAAATTTAAGAATACTAAATTGAAAGATATGTTATGCTTGGCTTTAAAAATTTTTAAAAAAAAGCATTCATTTTACTCTACCAAGTCTTTAAATAAGACAGATTTTACTGGGTTCAAAATATTTGTATGCAACTTCTTGATGTTTCTATACAGTCCAAAGATGACTGTTCTTAATTTTCTAAATTGTTATAGTTCATTTACGTCACAATAGAGCTGCACAATGGGCTATTGGCGATGGTCTGGGAAACATCTCTGAAGATGGTCCAAAGACGTGCCATAACAATTTTGATCCTCTGCAGAGGGGATCATGGCACCCGTGCTTTGGTAGCCCGATGACCTGTACGTGAAGTCGAGAACTTTACAGTAGTACAATTTAACGAGGATCAATGCCGCACACCCTCGGACCCTATCCAAGTGGTGACCCACCCACACACTGATTGCAGCCAGTGATGCTTGACTTTAGTGATCTGCTGGGGTTCTGAGATCTGCATATCTTAACAATCAGTCATTTCTTCTAAATTGATTCATGATAATATTCTTTTATTGAGCTTTTAAATGATGTTATGAATGCTTTTACAAGGTATCCATAACCTTGATAATCTTTTAAACTTGTTTTAAGACTAGAGTAAATTTCTGCAAAAATTTACCTGGTAAGCACAGAATTAAGAGTGAATTACATGCAAAATAAAAATAAACCAGTTTTCAGTGCAAAAATGCAAACTGGTTTATACAAAAATGTCTCCCCTGCTAACCACATTATCGCATTTGAATTACAGGCAAAGAAAAAATAGTTCTCAGTGCAGGAAAGTATACAGATCGTGCTGCAAATTTAGTTTAGAGTTGATAGTTAAAGGGGTTAAGATAAAAGCAAAAAAAGTTTATTTTAGGGAAAAATAACTAAGTGGCAAAAGTGACAAGATGAGGAAATAGTAAAAAAAAAAAAAAAAAAAAAAAAAAAAAAANAAAAAAAAAAAAAAAAAAAAAAAAAAAAAAAAAAAAAAAAAAAAAAATTCTGTGTGTATAAAACTAAGAATCTTTAATTTTTCATTCATCTTTTTTAAAAAAAGATTAAGCAATATTTATTAATTTTATTAAAAAAATAGCAAATTTCAAAATTATTTTAATTTGAAAAATGGTTTGTAAATCCACATTCATTCAAAGAGTTAGCAAAAATTATATCATCAAATTTGTTTTAAAATTTTTAAAAAAAATTTGTAAAAAAAGTTAGTAAGGGGCAATTTATAACTAAAAACAGTTTACTTCAAAAACAACTGTGTGAAATGAAGTTGAAAAACCTAATCCTAATAAATAATATGACAAACTAATGCAGTACAAACAAATTTACAACATTCAATACAAAATGAAATTGTAAATTTTTAATGCTAATTACAATTTGATATTATTGAATAAATAATGCAATAAATGGTTAATATCTAATTAAATTAAAATTAAAAATTTTTTATTTAATAACAAATATATTTAGTTTGTAGCATTTTCCTTGACATTAACCAATATTTCTAATTAGTATTGTATGTTTTACAGTAAAACATATATCGAATATTTTTACAAAAATTATTTTCTTTTTACAATTTTGAAATATGTTTGAAAGTAATACCTTAGTTATTTTAAAACTCAATGTTTTGTTTATAATTTAAATTTTAAAAAAAACTTATTTGCTTCATGTAATAAAAATAATGTTTCAAACATATTAACTTTTTTAATTATTTATTAATTTATTTATTTTTTTAAGAGTTTTGTTTATTTAATAGTTTCTAAAGCTTATGACAGTATTGCATAATGCAGACAATGGGATAGCAAAAAAATATTTTGATGTCATGCAAAACTGATTCTAAGATGAAAGTTTGAATCAATATTATTCAGAGACTTTTAATTACAATTCAGTTTAGCATTTTTTATTCTTCAGAGTTATTTATTATTATATTTCAATTTTTTTTTCCTACAGAGACAAACATAATTTTTCTATGTTAATATTAATTGGAAATTATTTTAAAACTAATAAATATTATTTCCATTTAAGTATTTTCTATTTAAAATGCAAAATTATACATTTAATTGCTATTTCATTTAAGAAATTTAGTTCCAAACAAAAAAATTACTATTAAATACATTTAGTTAGAGGGAGACAAATAATCAGAATTTATAGGAGTACTTAAAATATTACGACTTCCCTAAAATCGGGAACTGAACAAATAAAATGATTCTTTAGAATGTAAAAAAATAAAGATATTTTCTAAATATAAATGTTATTAAAAATAAGGGGTCAGTCAAATATTGAAAAAAAAATACAAGACTAAGAATTAATAGCCATTGAGAATTGTAAAAATTGGGAAAATAACACTTATTTACATTTTAGAAAAGCTTTCTACAATTCTGTAACCAAAGCTAAAATCCATAGAAATATGCATATAAATAAACATTATGTTATTGGAACTTTAACACTCTGCAGAAACAAAATATAATGATGAGTGCAATAAAGTTTAGAAACTTTACAAAAACACATATTAAGCAATTTTACTTAAATAAATATTTTTATTAAAAAAAAGATACGTTTTCTGGGACAGATTACTCGCTGTAGCTAACATCGCTGTTGATGTGCAAACAAACATAACATATAACATTTTCAATAAACAACTTTATAAAGTAAACAAATACGTAAAATAAGTCATATTTTAGAAGTTATATGAAAAAAAGAATATGTAAATATTGTACTTTATAAAAGAATAATTTTTTTAGAAAAAAAAACTTAATAAAACTCTTGGTCTAAATCTAAAATTATAAGTGGCTATTGATGTATGCCATTAGACAAAATGAACAATTTCTGGTTTGCAATAAAATGTTTAAGTTTTAGATAAGAAAGTAAATTTAATCCAAATTATTTTAACACCAAAATTATTTTAACAAAATAATAATATTAAGCAATAATAAAAGTTACTCTAGCTATAAATAAAATTAAAAAAGATTGCGAGAAGAAAATATAAAGATTTCTTTTTTATTTAAATAAAAAAAATTTTCACGCTCTACTTATGGATGGTTGACCATGTAAACTAAGCACATATGGCGCTACGGACTAAAATTCGTTGTAAGACTTCCGGGTCACTACTTTGGATTGATTTTTACCCTTTAACTTGGAAAAGGGTTCCATCAAATAATATTATACTTGTAGTGTTTACAATATAACACGTTTTTTTAATTTAAATTTCAACGAAACAAACAACATCAGAATTTGGAAGACTTCATGCATGCTATGCTCTGCAAGATGCAAACCTTATACACTTTATATATGTTATTATATTAATTTTCTGAAATTTATTTTAGGGTCACAACCCGTTATAATTCATAAATTACAGGAAACTCATTCAAATGGTGAAATGACTCACAAATTTAAACACGATTCACATTAACAAAACTTCCCAGAATATTAAGCCCGTTCCCACAGCGCCTCGTAAAAGCTTAACATAATTGGAGGGATACACCAGAAGTTTCCTAAATTTCTTCCGGTTTTAGGTAGCTTGTTATTGTTTACATTTAGTCAAACATCCATATTTTTCATTTATAGTAGATATTTTAAAAGATAATAAGTATAAAATAACTACAAGTATAAACTTGCATATTTTAAATTTAAAAAAAAATAATAATAATTTTTACTTTATGATAAACAAGAACACAAAAATTGTTTCTTAAATAATCCATAACACTCTCATGCATGTGAGGAAATTGGATAATTCTACTATGCAATACTCACCCATAACTTATTTATATATATTGAAAATAAAAGGAACTGGATAAAATTATGAGCATTAGATAACCTCCAAAACCACATAATTATCCACGTTATAGATGATTTCAAAACTTCATTTTGAGCATCCTGTAAATAAAAAAGACATTTTTATTAAAGTATAGATTGAATTTTCATGGTTCAAAAATAACATAAATAATCATTTTCTATAAACAATTATCTACTCTTAAAATTTAGGTGGGAATTATAGACTGCTTTGCAAAAGATTAAAATCCTTGCTTAAATTTGTTTACAGTAAGTCAAAATTTATAGTTTGTCTACGGTAAGAAATCCCCCCGCCACAAAGTCTGAGGCCGTATGCTGCTATGGAAACAAGAATAGTGCATTATTTCTTGTATGATATGATAGCTACTTTTTTCCTATTTAACACTCATCTATCCAGCATTATTTGCACATTCATAGACAATAGTCGGAAAAACTACATTATTCTTGTAGTTTACAACTACTTTGTTACAAATGTAGTTAACAACATATACTTTTTTTAAAATGTAGTGACTACAAACTATACTTTTGAAATGTACTACTTTAAGGAACCGAACTTTGCTGGAGAATTTAATTTACACATTATGTTTAAAATGGTTTTGAATAAAAAAATTGGCTTATATTAAACATGAAGAAATTTTCTTTTTCACAAACATATATTCATGTTTACATGAGACAATTTCTTATTCTAAAACATTTTTTTCGAATTTGTTCATTAAACATTCAAATCTAACGTTTCTTTCGACAGCGAATATTTAATTTAAGAAATGCGAAATTATCAAATATTTGCAATTTTTAACTTGTTTAATGCTCTTTTAATTCCTCTAACAAATTAAGTACATCTAACATACGTTTCCTTCCTTTTAAATAACATCAATGTTTCCCGAGTGCACATTCACAAGTGGAAGTGTGACCCATGTGATTAATTATCGATTTTTCAAACTGACTATAGTTGAAATATTAGTTAGATATGATTCTAGATACATAATTCCCGTTAACGTTCAGCTGCAGTCACGGGTTCATTTTCATTGCCTCCACTGACGGACATGCGAAGATTTGAACCCATCCAATTCGAAAAATTAGTTGCGTTGGAGCAGTGCTTCCTTACTAAACTAATGTTAAAAGTTGTCAGGAATTGCTACAATTTACTGTTTTTTTTATTTTTAAAGTAGCACAAAACACCATAACTACGAAATTATGTTAAAACTTACTGTTTGTGATTGTGAAGGAGCATTTGACTCAAGTAAATTGTGATAGGCATTTATGTAATGGTCCCAGAAGAAAGCACCAATGGCCATCTGAACTCCAAAACATACAACAACATACAAGACTCTTCTCTGAGCTGCAGTCGTTGAGACTATGTTGGTGGGGGGACCTCCAGTAGTTGAGCTGCCATCTTTACAGTCTTTATAGGACTCATTTGTACAAAGTGGTAAGTAGTACTTGTGCTTTGGTACAACAGTACGTAAATATTGGAAGCATCCTACAAATAAAAACATGCTTTTAAACTTTCAACAAAAAAGAACACTCAAACAATTAAAGTTCAAAAGAATGATTAAGTCCAACAGAATGAATTCAGAACTGTATAAGAGCTATAAAGAACCAGATGTTGTGAAATTCATTAAAATACACACATTAAAATGTACTGAGTACCTCCTCAGATTGGGAGAAAATAGAAATGTCAAAGAAGTTTTTATGGTCAAATCACAGGGTGTAACTACAGGAAGGCCAAAAATTATGACCTATTAAATACCTTGAACAAGATATTAAAATTAAGAACAGGAAAACAAGGGGATATCAGATGGAAAAATCTGTTCTTGAGAAAGCCACACTGGATTCTCAAGCCATTGAAGAATAAGAACAATAGAGTTCTAAACAAGTTAAATGAAGAGCTCAGTGGATTGTTATGGCATAATTTTATAATCTACCATACTAAAATATAATATTCTATTTATTAATTAATTTTAACACATGAGATATAATATTTAGGTTTTAACATTATGACCGGACATAACTACAACCAAACTTTCCACGACCACAAAATTTAAAAAAAAAAACTTTCTGCAGGCACTGATTAACTCTTTTAACTAATTCAAACTCTTTTGTTCCTATCTCATATTGGCGAAATTTTTGGAAAATCACACATTTCTTTAAATAAATGTTTAGTTTTTATAGAACTCTGTATTGATTCATACCACAGGGATGAGTTTGGTAAAAAAAACTAAAAGAACTAAAAATAGAGATCCAAGAATGTCATGCACACAAACACTTTTTAAATAATTGAGAAAATACCTGAAATGTGAGCAAGAAAAAAGTGTATGTTGGAAGCATTTATCCACAGAATGTTTTAATTGAAATATTGATGCAAGATTTTTAGTTAGTTATTTAAATTGTGCGAATATGAATCTCAATGTGTGATTTTTAAATCAAGTGAATTCAAATCTCGACATTTCATTTTAAAATTTCGTGAATCTCGATATTTGATTTCAAAATCGCGTTACCACGATTGTCGATGTTTGATTTTAGAATCAAGTGAATACGATCTCCCTGTTTCATTTTAAAATAGCGTGAATACGAATCATGGTAATAGTTCTTAAATCACGCGATATTTGACTTAAAATAGTGAAAATTCGAATCGCGATGCGTGATTTTAAATCTTGTGAATGTAATTTTAAATCGCATTTGCATTAGAAGTTTAAAGCGTAAAAAAAACGATTTTTTTTTCAGGGAAATTTGAGAAAGACAAACTTTTGATTGAAGAGGCTGAATTTTATTTATTTTTCCCCCCTTCATTTTAGTAATACGTAGTAAAGAATTTCCAGCGATTGTGACAAATTTTCCGTCAACGGCGTTCGCCTAAATTATTCAGAGTAAATAGTGACTGATGCACGTCAAAGTTCTCCATGTTCCCATAACATATCTGCCTTTGGGGTACAGATCCAGGAGTTTCCTTGACTTCAGGATTAGGTTCAAAATGACAAGGCTACGGGGTTGAACATTGGTAGTCGTAAGCCCAAAAGTGGGTCGGTTGTTCAACGACGGTTATAAAATAAAACTTAGATGTGCGTACTTCGAGAAACTATACAGAAATTGTGAAAGAGAGTAGTAAGAAAATAGTAAAATAACATTGACACAAATAAAGCACATCAAAAGTGCACAATTCGAAACTCCAGATTGATTAATGATAAAAATATCGGGATTTTAAGAAAAAAGCGAAAATTCGATAATAATCTCATAAAACATGATCGAAAAGTCATACAGATAAATGAACGCAAATAAAGAGCTTTAAAAGTAATTACTAAAATTCGAAATTATCGTATCATAATCTTGTCAAATTAAAAATATAAGGATTTCAAAAACTTTGGAGATTCGTTGCGACAACCAACGGAAAATGATCAAGAAACTACATTGATTTAGATTTGGCTCGTTCCCCCCCTGTTTCAAATTCATAACGTTAATAAATGATAAATTAAAAAAAAAAACTATAAAACAACGGTAGCCATTGGAGACTTAACCCACTAAAAGAAAAAAAATTAAAAATGTGTAAAAAATTTTTAATTTATATTTAAAAAAAATTTAACTTCATCCAAAAACCCTTGAGGGTGCAAGGTTCACCCTCCTACCCAAACTCCTCCGCATTATGATCACAACACATAATATTTTGAGTAAAATACTTGTTAGTTCAAGCTTTAAAATAAATATGCACCTTAATTAGAACAGCAAAGTTAACAATCCATAAAACTGGGGTGCAAAAGAAGAAAAACTATCAAACCTATTAAGAATGCTGTGAATCCAAGAGCATCAGCCACACCATCGACAACATATCCGCTGGTGTTTCTGAGTGAGACGTGTTGCACCATGCCCAGTCGACTTCGTGCCACGATGCCATCTAATGCATCAAACCAACTACGCATTTGGAAGAGGAAAATAGCTACACAATGATAGATGCGGGCATCCATGCACATGCACTTGCCTGCACCAATTGCAAATAGGAGTCCAATGAAGCTCACCATGTTAGGCGTTATGAAGTAGAATATGGAACTGAACTGAGTCACCTGAAATGACATCATTTTTGTAACTACTTTCTCACAAATAGAGTTAACTAAAACTAATTTTTTTTTAAATGTAGGGACTTCAAATTACTTTCAAAATATAGCAACTACACACTATGTTCAAAATGCTTTTGAATAAGAAATTGGCTTCTATTAAACATGAAGAATTATTAAGAAATATTATTCCTGTTTACAGAAGGCAGTATTTTATTCTAAAACATTTTTTTTTTCGAGTTCGTTCATTTATAAATTCAACTTTTAATGCCCTTCTCGACAGCAAATATTTAATTTGAGAAATTATGAAATATTTGCAATTTTGTAAAAGTGTTTAATGCTCCTCTAAGAGATTTTGTGTCCATCAAAATTATGTTCCTTTCCTTTGCATGAGTATACATTCGCATGAGAAAGTGCATCCTAAGTCAGAAATTATCTATTATTCGTAATGGCTAGTTTAAATATTAGTTACATGTGATTCTGAATACGTAATTCTTGCTAACGCTCAGTCGCAGGGGCTTTTTCATTGCATTTAAATTTCTTTTTTTTTTAATAATAGAACTCATTATTAACATTTCAATAAAATGTCATTTAAAACATTAATAAAAGCTTTAAGATGCAACGAAACAGTAACTTATGTGTGAACAAATGATAAAATAAAATATAAATCTGAGACTTCAAACAGAGTTGCTAATAATACGAATAACAATAAAAGATTTTGGTTATTCAAAGCTCGGTCGGAAAGGAAAATATTTATTTAAAAAAAAAAAAACAGCAGTTTAAGTGTCACACACTTGAAGCAAAACGATGATTTTAAACTATTTATATCATCGTGCCTGGATGATACAAATAGTTTAAATATTAATAGTTTGATATTAATAGTTGTTGGAATTATCTTGGCTTTAAAACGGACTAGTAACTTAAACAAAAAAAAATTTAAGTTATTAAACTTTTTTCAAAAATTGTCAATGGGGCGACATTTTACTACCTACACGAAAAGTAATAAAATTACTGCCTCAATTTTTGCAAATTTTTATGAACACAGATAATATGGCATTGGAGCAGTGGTCGGAAAAACTACCCTTTCTTTGCAATTAAGTATTACAATTGCAGTTACCAACTATTTATTTTTAAATGCAGCGATTACAAACTACTTTCGAAATGAAGTCACTACTTCGCTACTTTTAGAAGACAAACTTAACTGGAGAACTACATTTTTAGCAATATTCAAAGTGATTTTGAATTTTAAAAAAATGACCAGGTTAAATATGAGGAGATTTTAGGAATTTTTAATTCATGCACATGAAAAAGTTTTTTCATTCTAAAGCACTTTTCACGAATTCGGTCTTTAAACTTTCAAACTCTTATGCTTTTTCTAATCAGTGATTTAAGAAATGCTAGGAAATTATCAAACATTTGTGATTTCAATGCTTTCTTATATCCTTCAAGAAATAAAGAAAAGTGCAAAAAACGGGAATAACTTTTGATCTAAAGACCGGATCTTCACATTCTATTAAGGGGCAGACCGCAAATATGCTAATAAATTAATGTAGACGATATTTTAAGAAATCAGACATAGAAAAATACTTAAGGCTTCCTGCAAAATCGAATTTTAAGAAAGCCAGATATTTAAAATTCGATTTCTCAAGAACAATTTGACCGATTTCACACTAATTTTTCCGAGCATCAGACCTAGATCTCATTAGCGTTTGTTCACAGAGGCATTCTCATTGTGTACGTTGACGGGCAGGAGAAGGATTTGCACCAATCAGATTCGAAGAATTTTTTGCTCTCGAACTTTTCTTTATTTTACTAACGGTAAAAGTAGTTCCAAGAAATCGCTACAAACTACTGTTTTTTTTTAATCACACTACTCTCTATACTACTTCTTTTAAAAAGTAGAGCACTGCATTACTAACTAGGGAAAAAGTAGCGACAACTTGTAGCGCGCGCAACTTCCGACCACTGCATTGAAGCATTTTTTTAAAAATATTAAAAAATTGTCCCACGAACGCTTTACATTTCTACATAACTGTAGCTTTTCTCCATGTTGAAGTTTTGTGCCATTAACAGAATAAGAGTAGATAGCGCCAACTTGTCCTAAAAGTCATGAGTAACTGTTGCAAACTCCCAGCATTTATGAAAATAGCATATATTATTCGCAAAAAAAAAGAGAGATTTAGCATGACGCCTTTCGAAAAACAACCTTAAGCGTCTAGTGAACGAGTGCCACTCTAAAAGACTTAACATAATTTTTGACCAAATAATACCGTCTAGCGTTGTTTACCGAACTATAAGAAATTTATAGCTCACTGTCACTAAAATTTATATTTCCTTGATAATAACTTACATATTAAATCAATCATTTCGTTTTTTTTTCTCTTTATTTTCTGTTTTTTCTTCTTCAGAAAACAAAACAAAAATAACAGCTAACCTTGTATATCTTCTTACACCTATTACCGAACGACTCACTGTTTCCTGAAACCATTCATATCTTTATTATTCAATTCATCATTATTTATTTTTTGTTCTATCACCTTTTTTTCCTTGATAATCTTAACGTAACTTTTACCAGCATGTCGATAGGTTAGGGGGGAGCAGATTTATATTTAGCAATCATACAAATTTTGTTCACACAAGCAGATGAAGTTCAATCAATCCCATTTGTCAAGACTTTTAAGAATAAGATTTAGTGAGGCTGACAAAAGGAAGATTAATTCAAGTCCTGACACCATTCTTTCATTGCCTTGTGACATCACGTTTCATTTCGTTGGGACACCAGCAAGTGTCGTAGTGTGGGTATCTCGATTATGACATGTTGATGAAACGCGGCATTTGTTTACGTTAGCGACTGTTCTTTCCACTCTATTTCGAGTAAGTCAAGCCGTTAAGTGACACATTCTGAATTTTTTCACAAAGATTCTTTCGCAAAGATTTCAATACTTTCACACTATATCTACACAGACACGAAGCCGTGAGGAACATAAACAAACTTATTATGCATGGAAGTTGCCTGTATTTAATTAACTTAAAAATCTGTGTTTTATTAACATTCTAACTTAAGTAGAGAAACTTAGCTCAACTTTAATACGTCATTTTGCTTATAAAGATTAGCCGGCGCTGACGTCATGGGTCATGTTGAAGTATCAGCAGCCCACAACTCAACTCTATCATAGTTGTGTATTTTGATTTAGATATGTTGATATTCGAATTTCGTTACGCTTCCAAAATTATTTTAAATATCGTAATTAAAGCGTTTTCCTTTTATAAAATTCCTTAGTATTTATTTCGAATCTTTTAACAGGTCACGTGTCTGAGTATGGAAGTGCAAGTACCTACTTGGAATAAAATAACAATGTTTGAATTAATGTTTCATTTTTTTTTATCAACAAAAAATTTATTTTTAATGAGAAAAAAAAAAGAAAATTTCATTTGATCGATAGAATTTAAAAATCTAATTTTTCTCAAAACTGATTTCCGTCCCTAGGACTGAAGAGTGGCATTCATGTATGACGTCATAAATTCGGCTCCCCGAAAAAGGAGGAAATCATTATAACCTCTAAAAAAATCTTACTTCGTTGAAAATATGAGCTGCTGGAGTATGAATGTAATTATTGACAGGGTCCATCATCATGAGTTTAACGGAGAGTCCCGCAAAAGGAGAGAAGAGTTCTGGAACAGTGGCAGGAGTTGTGGGGACAGCAGGGGTGGTCTCACTCAGGACATGGTGAGATATAGTGCGTGTATTTACAAGATAAAAGAGAGCTATGTCCATCCATAGGAAATAGAGAAGAAGAGCACCTATAACGATCACAGTCGCCTTGTTTTCGTAAAGGGAAGCCATTCTGGTTTTGCCAAATCGTTTAGTCTGCAATAAAATATTTAAAAAAAATTATGTTTCATAAGTTCACATTTGTTATCTTGGATCAAATCACAAGTTTTGTATAGATTTTCAGATTCCTCGAAAAACAGAAAATTAAAAAAAAGTATGTGGCGACCGCCACCTATCGTTAAATACTTACACTGCGCTGAAACCGTTTACCAGTTGTCGCGTGCAATCATTATCTAGCCACGCGCTTGCTTTTTATAAAGAAAAACAATTATCGTTCTTTTTCTTGCCATATTTTTACAGCTCTGTTATATTTAATAAAACTTGTTAAGTTTGTTTATTATGTGAATTCGTGTTTATTGATAAGTTAATTCACCTTCTGATCCATACTTACCACTTACTACACGAATTTACAAGTATATAGAGAGCAGAAGAAAAAAAAATGCTTCACTTAATTAATTTCGATCTTAAAGGTTTGAAGGGAGTTGTCTGATTTATCAGCCCTAAGCGTAGGGGGATCCCAAATGTTGCAAATAATTCTTTTTTCATTTTTCCTTAAGAAATGTCTAATAGAGATATGAGTAAACAATAATTTATATAAATATAAGTTCAGATTTACAAATATATCACAATTTATTTGTTATAATTTAAAACAAATTCATAACTAAACATGTAAATTTAGTTTAAAATAACAGTCTTGTTCGAAAAAACTACTCACCAAAATATCAACTCTCTGTTGATCAGGTCATCTCCTGCTTCTAATTTTTATCGCTTGCTTTTATTTTTTTAATTCATCTATTTAGGTGTATAGTTTATTTTATTCATGCTTTAGCTAGCCCGTTATTTTCTTAGTATTTTTACTTTTATTCACGCTTTTGCTAGCCCGATAATTTTTAATATTTTTAGACTTTATAGTCCTCAAAATAAGGGGAGAGGAGACATCGTGTTTTGAGGGTCAATGAGAGAAGTGGTCAAAATAGTTTAGGCAGAAGAGAGATCAAAAGTTTAATCGAAAGTTAAATTTCCCTTTTTGCGTACTTCGCCATATTTTCGGCACTAATGAAGTGAATCAAAAAATTTCGGACACAGAACTTGTTTATCTAAAGGTAATGTAAAAAAAAATTGCATGTTAAGAAAAAGTATTTAAAAAAAGTGTTTTGAATAGAAATAATTTTTTAATAATTATTATTTCTTATTACAAAATTAACTAATGGTCAAAAACAGTCTGAATTATAAGATATACTAGTTTTTACACCAATTTAATCCATGTTACTTAAATGCTATAATCCGAAATTTGAAGGAAATTAGTCAAACAATTCTTGAGAAATAAATTATTTAATAAAAATAAATTNAATATTTCAACTTAATTATTAAGGAACCAGAAAAAATAAAATTTTTTAGTTATAGCAAAAAATTAAAAAAAAAAAAAAAAAAATATTGGCACTATATTATTTGATTAATACTTTGAGGGTTCATTCAATGAATGACTCCGTACTAAATCCGTGGGGGGTATATTCATTCAGAGAAAATAGGTTTTGTGTCTGATATCGTATCTTAAAATATCGCCAGCACAAATTAATTAACATATTTAAGGTTAAGATTGTGCCCCAGTACGTGAATATTCGGTCATCAAAACATTAAAATGTTCACCTTTTTTCTTCGTATTTTTCGTAGTACATAATAGGGGATTACATATAGGACATAATACAAAGATCATCAACAATTAGTTGCAATTATGTTGTTAGTATTTTTTTTTTTTTTACCTTTTGCAATTGAATTATTGCAAATTTTTCAAGATTATCTTTAAAATTTGTCGACCTAATAATATTTCCTACAAAAAACAATATTTAATTTTTTCTAAATTAATTTAATAATAACTAAAATCACGGTAGAACAAAAAAAATTAAGCAAATTATTTGAATGGTTCTCAAGAAATAAAAATCGATTCAGCAATTTAAAGATTAACAATTAAAATTTTTTTTTTGGAGTGGGGGGGGGGAATGGTTTTCTTTTTACTAAATCTATAAAAAGAAAAAAAGAAATATTTTAAAAATCCTGTCAATGAAGAAACTCTCCTTTATTTTTCGATGAAAACATCAATAAATAAATAAAAATTTAAAATGCAGTAAAAAAAAATAATACAAATAAAAAATTTGTCAAAAACTTTCCATATATTAATAATATTATGGTGATAAATATTATGGTATAATTATTATGAATATTATGGTAAAAATGTGGTAAAAACGTCAATTTTTTTACCACATTTTGATAATAAGAATTAATATTATGGTAAAAATGTCAAAATATTTTACTGTCAAAAAAAGTATGCGAATAAATGTTAAAATTTTCATATATTTCTGAAATAATTTGTAATTTTAAAAAATTATTTAAAGAAAAATGGAAATAAAGAAACAGTATATAAAAAATAATAGCAAAAAAAAACAAAAAAAAAACAGCATGTGTAATAACAGGATGAAAAATAAAATATTTCAATACGCGTATTGAAAAAAAATTCTGAAATTCGTCGCTTAAAAAAATGGCTTTAAAAAAATTAAATTAAACAGCGCAAGAAACAACAGCAGACAAACAGTATGCGAAATAAGTAGCATCAATAAAAAAGAAAGTGAAATAACAGAATGGAAAAAATAATTAACATAATCGTTTCACTCGCCGAAAATTTAATATTCTTTACCTCAGAGTATTTATAACTTTCGTAAAAATGCTGAGAGAGAGTGGGCAAAAGTTTTAATAAAATCCAGCGAAATATCTTCATTGATACATAAGCCACCACTTATTATTTTTTTTATTACCAGAGTACCACTACTAACACCAATATTTCAGGATTTTAGACGATAGATTTACATTCCTTAGATCTACAAAAAAATAATTAATTGATTTTATTAAACAGTTCAACAATTACGTACTAGCTCTATTTATGAATTTATTATAATCAACAATTACACACAACTCATCAAAGGTATTAATGTTTTTTAAATTGTAAACAATGAATATCACGTTACTAAACAAAATGGAAAATAATAAAAAAGTTCAAGGTTAGTAATACTGTTATTCCGATAAGATTTTGTTAAAAACAATCGATTGTATCAGTAACTGATTAGTTTGCAAAAATTTGTAAAACATCCTCAAAGACCTTAAAACAAGTTTTATTGTTTTCTCATTTCAGGTAATAAAAAGGCAACAATTTAAAGGGCGCCAATAAATTAAATATGTAAAGTAATATCCTATCGTGTTGTAGTATTAATCAAGACTTTAAAATAATAAAATTTACTCTTCATCGCATCTTTTTACAACTTCTTTTTTTGGTAGAAAAAAAATCCATACCTCTATAAATCACAGGTAATAAGTTTTCTTAGCGGGTAATAAACTGTGACCTTTTAAATTAAGTATTAATGTGACATGAAAATTAGGCGAAAAGTCGTATTTTAAAATGATCACTTCTCTGAAACAATTCGGCCATTTTTTTTTTTTTTTTTTTTTTCCATTTTACTTTACACAGTTTTAAATGGTGTAAAAATTTGTATACCTTACAATTCAATTTTTTTCGATCATTATCATATAAAATAATAAATACTTGTTATAAAACTTTTTCACGTTGAATTATTTTTGAATAAACGAACAAAAAAATTTTGATTCACTTCATTTCGTACAAATTCAATTGATTCAATTTCGTACAAATTCAATTGATTCTATTTCGTACAAATTCAATTGATTCTTTTGAATCAATTTCGTACAAATTCAATTGATTCTTTTGATTCAATTTCGTACAAATTCAATTGATTCTTTTGATTCGTACAAAAAAATTTTGATTCACTTCAGAACTTCCCGAGAAATGACTAAATACGCAAAAAGTGAAATTAACATTAAGGGGCCCAAACCTTTGACCGCTATCCTGACTAAACTAATCCTTCCTATTTTAATGATTAAAAATTCAAATCCGTCGAACGAAAGATATTAATTCAGAAACAAAACAAAAAAAGGTTTTTATGTCTGATTTCGTAATTAAGATTGGCACTTAGAGCATGAAAATCCAGTCATTGGTACAAAAGTCAAGCTATTCAGGAGGTTGCATCTTTTTTCCCCCTCACTGTAACGCTATTATTATGAATGTATGAAAAACTAATCATTAGATTAAAAGTTATAGCAAGAGCGATTTTGTTTTACTCTCATTCCTGTTTTGCACACTTTACAATAGCTTTTAATAATAAATGTAAAGGACCGTGATTAAGGGATTGTCTAGGGCTGTTAAAAAACAGTTCAATCCCAGAGTTCATTCATGCTGATGAAATTTTAAAATAGGAACAATTTGAAGTATTCTATATTATAACAATACAACACACATTTATTATAATTGCAATTATGTGCATATTTAATGTTACATAATACAGTCGAACTCGTTTATAACGAGCTCGGATTTAACGAGAACTCGGATTTACCGAGGGAAACGAGAATTTTTGATTGGATCAATGTTAAGTCTATGGAACAGAAGCAGTCGCTTTTAACGAGCAAGACCCGGTTAAGACCGAGCAATATTTTTCTGTCTTGCAATCTTTTTTCTCATCTTTCTAGTCTTTCTGTCTTATCTTTTTTTCAAAATGATAAAGAAATGCGAGTGAAGGGGGTTAGTTGTCATTAAATTAAGAAAAGTATTTAATTAAATTAATTAATGTAATTAAAGTAAGTAAGTATTAATTAAATNCAATCATTTGTCCTCCAAGCCCCCCCCCCCCCTCTTCTGGTTGCACGCCTGTCTTAAGGCCTAGTTTAGTACGAGCACTCGGATTTAACGAGTACATGTTACGGTCCCTTTGTGCTCGTTATAAACGAGTTCGACTGTAGTATCTATGCAATAAATATTTTAAAAGACCAAAAAAATTTCAGGGTGTAACAACAAATTTAAAAATACAGCGAATATGTTTCGCCTCACCAAAAGCCGCAAAAACAAGTCTTAAGTCCAGTAAATTTCTAAAAGTTCTAGAGAAAATAAGAAAAAAAACTAACCTTTGAGGCATGGGGGAAAC